AGTCCATCAGGGACATCTGGGCAGGTCTCCAGTCCATCACAGGGACATATAGAGACAAACGAGTCAACTCTCACTCACAACTAGGAACAATTTAGAGTTACCAATTAACCTAGCATATTGTTTTTGTTTGTTTGTTTGTTTGTTTTTGTCTGTGGGAGGAAACCCAAGTACCCAGAGGAAACTCATGGAGAGAACATACAAACTCCAACCAGAAAGGCCAGGAGGTGATCCTGCGAACTTCTTCTACGTCTGCGCCGCCATACTGCCTCCAATTCACACCCTCTGAATATATTCTCTCTTTCTTTATATCCATCAACTTCAAGAAACTGCTGCAAACTTTTTATACGGGCTTAAAGGTACTCATTGCAATGTAAAGAAGACCAATAAACAGAATCATCTCCATCGAAAACAGCCCAAGTAACTGAAACTGTGGCAATGTCCATGGTGGAGACATCTGGGCTTGAGAAGTCCAACAGTTCTGATGTATTGGCACACATTTACACTCAGATTTGTAAAGTAGATCTTATATCATACCACTAAGTTGAGATAAGGTTTGGTTTATAAAAATTTCAAGCATTGGACTAGAGGTGAAAAAACTTTGAACTTGTAAACTTACAGTGGTAGAAGTTCTGCAAAAGCTGTGTGGTTTGAATGTGTAGCTCTGTCGTGATGGGGCGCTCCACGGCCCTGCTTCATCCTTCATATTTATTGTGACAGCTGTCTTGTGCATTCTCTTTTCTGTTGCATTCATATGTCCACCTAAATGTCTTCAAGATTCTACGTTTCTCTTATTCTGTCATATTTGTTGTATATGGCCAGTCTAATGTAGGCCAGTCCTTTGAGTCAAGCTTCCACTTAGTTTTCGGAAGATTTAATCGAGGGCTTTTTTTACATTAAGGGCTGACCTGCACTTTAGATTTGTGTTCGATAAGCTTTATATACTTAATGTTACAGTTTGCAATGAGAACCTTTAATATGTTTTAAATTATGAAATTATGATTCTTTAGCATAGAATTTGTACTTTGTAGAAAAAATGAAAATACTGATATGAACCCCACCTTAGCTCTTACTTTTCTTGGTTTTAACTTAAGATTCATATAATAAAAACAAGTCTATGAATAGATGCAAGCCTCCGTCTGCTCCTGTTAGCTGCTGGTCTGGGGGACAGTCTACTGTGTTAGTTGGTCATCAGCGCACACACCACTGGAAAAACTAAGAAGAACAGCTAATTAAGTAACCGTGTACTAAAAGTAGGCTTGACTGGAGTGAAGCACCCTAAAATTATAGTTCAGTCATTTTGAATTGTGGTTCTGTGGAAAGTTTGGAAGCAATTTTTTTTTAGGTTTAACAACGCCTACACAAAACCTGAATCTCAGTGTGGCTTCAAAGGGTTTTGTGGTATGTTAGCAGAGTTTCTTGCTTCTTAGTCGCTTTCCTCATTCTCTCGCAAAGCATCGTGGCTGTCTTCCTCATCTTCATCCTCTGCCTCAGCCTCCTCGTCATCCCCACCTCCATTCATCATCTCCAGCTCAACCTCCACTTCAGCGTTGTCGACCTCCACATCCTCCCCACTGACGAGCTCCACATCCCTGGACACCTCCACCATCTCGGTACCTTGGACCACCTCCACAGCGCCCTCACGGATCTTTTTAACGTGGAAGGTGAAAGGGGGCACCTTGTACATGGCAGTCTTTGAACGGGCATAAACAACATGGTCTGGTGTGAAGGCCTTCTTCACCTTGTCACTGGATGTCTTCATCTTCTGTTTGCGCTCAGGATTCACGCTCATGCGTGTTCCGAGTTTTCCCATTTTCTTCTCAATGTTGTGGCGAGTCTTCTCCAGATTTTCTTTTGTCTTCTGTTTAGTTTTCTCTATGTTCTCTTTGGTTTTTTGTCTGGTCTTCTCCAGGTTCTCCTTTGTTTTCTGCCTTGTCTTCTCAATGTTCTCCTTGGTTTTTTGTTTGGTCTTCTCCAGATTCTCTTTTGTCTTTGCTCTGGTCCTGTCCATCTTCTCCTTTGAAAACACTGTCTTGAGGTTTTGCATGCGTTGCAAGCTGCTGCGCTTCATGCGTTCAGCACGGGTCTCTTCAATGGTCTCGATCTCCACGTCCTCATCTGATGAGAGGTCTACATGGGGTTTGTCTTCCTTTTCATCCTCTTTTTCTTCCTCCCCATGATCTTCCACAGCTTCTTTAAGCTCCAAAAGACTACCTCCTCTGCTTCCTGACACAGACTCAGAGACCTTCATGGATTTAGAGATGCTGAGTTTGGAGGGGACCTTAACTTCATCCTGTTGAGAGAAGAACAAAATAATTTTAGTGCAAAAAATTGTAAGTCTGAGCAAATACATGTGATGCTTTTACAGAGGTTCTGAGCAGTAGCCAGTAACAAAATATTAGTATAAACTGTCTGAAAGAGCTGGCGCTGCTATATCTGCAGTCACTTCCATTTATTTGTAGTTCTGCTAAAAACTAGATTTTTCTTAAGTGGAAAACTGTTAAATTACTTGTGTTCTGTCAAGCTTCTTAAAGCCTTGCATGTTTAGTAGTCATGCCATCCATCCATCCATCCATCCATTCATCCATCCATCCATCCATCAACCATTCTGAAGTCAGGTTGCGGGGGCAGCAGCTTGATCAGTGAAGCCCAGACATCTCTTTCCACAGCCACCTCTTTCAGTTCTTTTGGGAGGATTCCAAGGCCAACCAAGAGCAATATACTCTCCAGTGTGTCCTGGGTCTCCTCAAAATCAGATATGCCTGAAACACCTCCCAAGAGAGGCACCCAGGGGCCAGCCTTACCATATGCTTAAACCACCTCACCTGTCTCCTCTCGATGTGGAGGAGCAGTGGTTGTACGCGTGATGGAGCCTGACAAGGTGAGGGAGCAATTGTATCCACCAGCAGGTGCAATAGTAAAGCCAGGGGGTGGCCAGTGGTGACCTTGACCAGAATAGATTAATCTTTGCCCACCTCAAATTTTTATGAAACTATACTTTTAAGCTCTAGAAATACTCAAAAGCATAGTTTCCTCAAATGATAAGGGTGGCCAGTTTACATATACACAGTACAGGTGCTGGTCATAAAATTAGAATATCATGAAAAAGCTGAGCCCTGTGATGGACTGGAGACCTGTCCAGGTGTCCCCCGCCCCTCGCACAGTGATTGCTGGACATGGGCACCGGCGAGCCCTGTGACCCAAAATGGAAGAAGCGGGTAAAGATAATGGATGGATGAAAAAGATGATTTATTTAACTAAGTCCATTCAAAAAGTGAAACTTGTATATTATATTCATTCATTACACACAGGCTGATATATTTCAAATGTTTATTTCTTTTAATTTTGATGATTATAACTGACAACTAATGAAAACCTAAAATTCAGTATCACAGAAAATTCTAATTTTCTGACCAGCACCTGGGTGCTGGACATAAAATTAGAATGTAATTCTGTCATTAGAATAAACTTATATCTTTCTCTGCCACGGCAGCACCTTGGGATTGGTTTTAATTTCAAGAAACATCGTGGACTTCATCAGTGAGCTGCTCTCTGGCTCTTGTTTGGAGGCTTGGAGTTCCTGCCACCACACTCCGTGACAAGCAGTAGAATATTAGTCATTCTTTTACGAGCACGCACTCACTTGTGTTTTTACAGAATTTCAGGTAGGACCAACAGCTGGTGATTTTAGATTTGAGGCTTGGGCCACTTCATGTAAACAAGGTTGGGTGCAAAGAAAACCTTTTATCTTTGAACATTCAGTTGTATACTTTTCTTGAGCATTTGAGATGTTTTATATTTTTACAAGTATGTATGTGTGACCTGACCCGCCCTGACTCCTGATGGAGTATTTCTGTACAAAGAAGCTGCTCTCTGTTCTTAGTGTCCCACCCTTTTCTGACTGTTTACTTGCCAGATGAACTAGTTTATCTCCCCCATATGCATCCTTCTTTTTGTTAGAAGAATAATGCTTTTGCTTGTTAATGAGCGAATAGCAGGGTGTGGCAGGAGGATGAGGAGAAGTTCTCTCAGGCTCCCAAATGTCTGCATCTATTACTCCCCCCCTCACCCCATGCTTTTATGGTGAAAACAGGAACACAGTAGAGTCAGAACAAAAGGAGTCCCAGGGAGGGGGTGAGGGCGGGGGCAAGGTGTGGAAAATGGAAATGTTTTTCTGCTTCCATACGTATAGAGTAATAGCACAAGTGGAGTGACTCCTCGCAGTCTTGGAAAACCATCTGCACCGCAGGAAGATGATAGCATCGAAGTGTTAGTTGGAATGAGAGCCGAGGGTGGGGGCAGATCCATTGTGTTCGCTTGCAGTGATTGGACATTTTATGGAGGTATTGTACTACAGTATCTTGGGTAAACTTGACCTTGGAGGAGGGATTTAGGCTTTCCTGAACAGCTGTGTTGATGGGCAGCGGGGAAAAGGAAAATACCTGCCAAGCTCGAGAACAATGCTGTGGTCCACTTCAGTAGGTCTTTGAAAAAGACGTATCTGTTGAAAAGGGTTCATTTTAACAGCGTACAATTGTTTTCAGCAGTTTTTTTTTTTAAACAAATAAACTGAGTTTCTGTTGGCGAGTGTGATTCATCCATCCATTATCTTTTACCCGCTTCTTCCATTTTGGGTCACGGGGGTCGCCGGTGCCCATGTCCAGGTATCACGGTGCGAGGGGCGGGGGACACCCTGGACAGGTCTCCAGTCCATCACAGGGTCACAGAGACAAACAACCATTCACACTCTCTCTCTCACCTAGAGACAATTTTAGAGTTACCAATCAGTCTAACATGCATGTTTTTGATCTGAGTACCCGAAGTAAACCCACACATGCACGGAGAGAACATGCAAACTCCACGCAGAAAGGCCCCCGGACCGGGATTTGAACCAGGGACCTGCTCGCTGAGAGACAGCAGCGTTACCAGTTGCACCACCACGCTGCCCACCATTAAACTTTAAAACTAAACTAAATGTGTGTGGGGGTGTTAGAATGTTAATGTGTTCTTTAGCACAAATAAACATTTTGATTTGTTAAGTGCATAGCAGCAAATTAAGGATTTCATCAAAGCTTTGACATATTATCCATATGGACATTACAATGTACAACAACTTATTTTACATGACTTATTTAATGTCAAAATAAAAGCCTAAAGAACACCATTAGGATAATTTTACTGTGGCAGTTTTAGGATTTATGTTAACCAAACAACAACAGAAGGTCGTGCCAATCAAAGGTCCTGTCTAAACGTTGTTTTCAAACTTGTTCCTTCATGTATGAAGACCCTGGAAACCAGCTGGACATCTCAGAGGGAAGGACTTCTCTAGGATATCCCATGTTTGCACAAGAGTACAGGACAGAAGAGAGAATTCCATGCTGCCTGCTCCTACGTGTGTCCAAAGCAGATGGAAAGAGTTGTAGGAAGCTCAGGCATTCACCTTGGTGTTTGGACTTCCTGACCCTCCTAATTTAATGGGACATTGTTCTCTGAGGCAGCCACTCCAAAAACAGGAAAGTACGGTCAGAACCACGGAAAATAGATGAAGGTGGTATGTAATGGCTCTAAGCTTGTTTGTGTCTTTGTCAAGGCGAGGCGAGGGAATGAAATGCAGCTATTGCAAAAGGTGCATGAGGAAACAAATTCCATATCTGTTTCAATCAAAAATGACTAAATATAATTTGGGAGGGATGTTTTGTTGCAAAACACAGCAAATCACACTTTGATTAGTGTGTATGTGTGAGTGTGAGTGTGTGTGTGTGTGTGTGTGTGGGGGGGGGGGGCACATCATGGAATGGGAATTATCATCTTTTATTCTGCAAACACTCATGAGCCTGCTGTGCAAGGACAGAGTGGAATATTTTGGTAACACAGCCTGCACTCTTTTTGTTTTACTTTCAACCTAAACCACAAGGAACTCCCCTCACATTCTGGAAGACCAGATGTTTGAGTGTGTGTGGTGGTGGTGGTGGTGGTGGTGGTGGGGAGGGGGGGTGTTGGTGTGTGTGTGTGTGTGGTACAAAGTTTATTATATCAAATTCTATTTTATGCACAGTGGAAGATTTTACAGTAAATCCAGTAAAACAAAGAAATCTCTGTATAGACGTAGATCTCAATATAGATGTAGATCTCTGTATAGACATAGATCTCTGTATAGATGTGGATCTCTGTATAGATGTAAATCTCAATATAGACATAAATCTCTGTATAGACATAGATCTCTGTATGAATGTAGATCTCTGTATGGACATAGATCTATGTATAGACATAGATCTCTGTCTAGATGTAGATCTCTGTATAGATGTAGATCTCTGTATGGATGTAGATCTATGTATAGATGTAGATCTCTATAGACATAGATCTCTGTATAGACGTAGATCTCTGTACGGATGTAAATCTCTGTATGGATGTAGGCCTCTGTCTAGATGTAGATCTCTGTATAGATGTAGATCTCTGTATAGATGTAGAT